AACAGCTCTGTTGTCTTTTCAGGATCGTGCCCTGTAACCACATCGTCCTCACTCCGTGTGAGCGTCCTCTGTTTGACGCTCTTAGAGAAGGAAAAACCATCTCAAATAGAAAACATACAAGAGCCGTGTCGGTCATACAGCAGCTTTTCTTAAGGGTGTTCTGAAGCTCCTCCTCCTCCCCCCCCCCCCCCCCCCGGCCTGCCAAATTCATCTAGAGACAAGAATAATAATAATCACAATAATAACTATAATAATAATTATAATAATTATTATTATAGTTATTATAACAATTATTATAATAATAACTACAATAATAATTATAATAATAATAATAATTATAATAATAACTATAAAAATAATTATAATTATAATAATAACTATAATAATAATTATAATAATACTGAGCTAATGATGAAAGAAAAAAACATTCACACACAACAATTAAAAAAACAAACAAACATGATCATGGTAACACTTTGATAAATTAATCAAATTAGGATTCTACTTGATCCCCCGTCATGGGGATATAATCTAGATATATCCTTTCACATTATACATGATTTTCTCAGGTGTACAATACGATAGAAACTGTGACCACCACTGCCTGATTGGGGGAGGGGTTTCAGATTTCCAGTGGCATAACATCATAATAATGATATAATTATAATATAATAATTATCAGCTGTTTTAAAGTGAGTATAATAAGAATCAAACGGGTGTGTTTGCTCCTCCAGGTTCGGCCACGGCTCCGCTGAGCTGGAGAACAGTCTCTATGTTGTCGGAGGTCACACGGCCATCGCTGGAGTGTTTCCCGCCTCTCCATCGGTCTCTCTGAAGCAGGTCAACGTCATGTCTCTAAATGTTCAAACAGAAAGCATGTGATGGTCTCCGTCTGACTCCGGTGTGATGTTGTGCAGGTGGAGCGCTACGACCCTCTGAGTAATAAATGGACCATGATGGCTCCTCTCAGAGACGGAGTCAGCAACGCAGCCGTGGTCAGCGCCAAGCTCAAGCTGTTTGTCTTCGGAGGGTCCACCATCCACAGAGACAAGGCCTCCAAGGTGACAGATCCTGTCTGTGATGTCATCAAACATCTTTTTCATGACAAATACTTTCAATGTGTTTCTTGTGTTGTTCTTCACGACAGAGGATTAGGGCCACGTAAAAAAAAAAAACATTTAATTTTGTGATTGAAGTCGTAAATTTACGAGATTAAAGTCGTAGATTAACGAGATTAAAGTCGTAGATTTACGAGATTAAAGTCGTAGATTAACGAGATTAAAGTCGTAGATTTACGAGATTAAAGTCGTAGATTTACGAGAATAAAGTCGTAGATTAACGAGATTAAAGTCGTAGATTTACGAGATTAAAGTCGTAGATTAACGAGATTAAAGTCGTAGATTTACGAGATTAAAGTCGTAGATTTACGAGAATAAAGTCGTAGATTTACAAATGTAATCTCTTAATTAACGAGACCAGCCTGCGCGAAAATGATGAAAGTGGAACTCTTAAAGTCTTTAAAGAATAAAAGAATAAAGTCGAGATTATTCTCGTAAATTTACGAGTTTAATCTCGAAATTTAAAAAAAAAATTAAAATGTAACATGGCCCTAATCCTCCGTCGAAGTTCTTCTGCAGAATGTGATGAAGATATTCGTCTTCATTCAGCCTCGCTTATTGACAAACATCTAAAAACCTTTTGATTCTTGAGATTTGAGTTTGACGTCCCATTGAACCTTGTAGTGTTCGTCCCGTCACAGCCTGACTCCGCCTCTCACCTGAGTCACCTGCTCTGTCCTCCATCAGGTGCAGTGTTACGACCCCGTGGGGAACCGCTGGCACATAGCGGCTGAATGTCCTCAGCCGTGGCGGTACACGGCAGCGGCTGTCTTAGGGAGCCAGATCTTCATCATGGGGGGCGACACCGAGTTCACCGCCGCCTCCGCTTATCGCTTCGACTGTGAGACCAATCAGTGGACTCGAGTGGGTGACATGACGTCCAAACGGATGAGCTGCCACGCCGTGGCGTCGGGGAATAAGCTGTACGTGGTGGGCGGGTACTTTGGGACGCAGCGGTGTAAAACTTTAGACTGTTACGACCCGACGTCAGACAGCTGGAACTCCATCACCACCGTGCCTTACTCTCTGATCCCCACTGCCTTCGTCAGCACCTGGAAACACCTGCCGGCCTGAGGGGGAGGAGCCAAACACCAGGTAAAGTGTGAGGGATTAACTCATGAGGGTTTCAGGCTCAAGTCAAAATCATTTAAAGTCTTTATATGTGATTTTTTGATCCAGCAGATGTCGCCCTTGAGCTCCAGCATGAAACCAAAACAACTTGTGCTGCATTGTTGTGTTAGCGATGCTAATGCTAACGATCTTTATTATGCTGGTATCTTCACACTGCATGTAAATTGACCTGAAATGAGCGTGATCTAGAAACACAGTTAAGCAGTGAGTACAGTATGTTATTCTTCTTTTCTCTAGTCCCTCAATTAAACAACTTTTATACACGAGGGGAGGAGTCAGCCGGCCGTCCGGGCGATGTAAACAAAGTGAAGATAGGACTCTGAAAACTCTGAAAACATCACAGACAGTGGGACTCGGGTGTTACACCCATTGTAGACAGTCATGACTCACAGAGTTATTTTCAGAGGAGATACTTGATTTATATATTTAAGTGTGAAAAATCACATAGAAAGACTTTAAGACAGGACAAACCTTCAAAATAAAAGCCTAACAACTTTTATTTTGAAATGAGAAATAATGTTATTTCAAATATGCAATAAAAATGTGATTTTAGGGTTTATATTAATCATGTTAAGACGTAGAGTCTCCCGCTGTGACGGACGCTTCAGGACCAAGCAGCTGCATCTAAATATCCCCCCCGGCCCCCCCCCGCCCATCCTTCTGTCTCCTGTGGGTATAAGGACCCTCGTCAGCGATGCTCAGCTGCTTTAGAACGATCATTGACTTCCTCTCCCCCGAGTCTGCACTCAGACTGCTGTGTGTGTTTGTCAGTTTTTAACATCATTATTTATTTATTGTCAAAACAGGAAATGAGGCAAAGGCTTAAGAAGTCATAAAAAGGGATTCCTGTGGTGATTGATTTAAACATCAGGAGTGACAGAGGGATCTTTATAAACCTGACTGAGCTATAGGGGCAGACACACGTTAGCTCAGGGCCAATCAATGGACTGCAGTGTCTAGCTCCGCCCTCTAGTGTCAGATTGGTACGCTCTTAAACATTTTTCAAAGCAAACTGAAGACCTACCTTTACAGCTTTTAACTGAATCTCATTTCATCTTGTTTTATTATTTATTTTATTTTCCTCATTTAGAATAAGTGATAGCATTTCCTCACTACCTGTTCTTAGTTATTTTGACCTTAGTTTTTGGATTGTGGGGTCGGGGTGGGGGAGGGGGTCATGTTGTTGATGTAAAGCACTTTGGGATACATTTGTTGTATGAAAAGTGCTTTATAAATAAAGTTTGATTGATTGATAGTTAAAGGACGGTACAGATTATTTTATTATTATTATTTTACTGCTCCCATACAGAAGTGAACGGGCAGCGGAGCGTTCTCTGGTAAACGTCCAATAAGAAGTTTGTGTGTGTGTGTGTGTGTGTGTGTGTGTGTGTGTGTGTGTCTGTGTGTGTGTGTGTCTGTGTGTCTGTGTGTCTGTGTGTGTGTGTGTGTCTGTGTGTGTGTGTGTGTGTGTGTGTGTGTCTGTCTGTGTGTCTGTGTGTGTGTGTGTGTGTGTGTGTGTGTGTGTGTGTGTGTGTGTGTGTGTGTGTGTGTGTGTGTGTGTGTGTCTGTCTGTGTGTGTGTGTGTGTCTGTGTGTCTGTGTGTGTGTGTGTGTGTGTGTGTGTGTGTGTGTGTGTGTGTGTGTGTGTGTGTGTGTCTGTCTGTGTGTCTGTGTGTGTGTGTGTGTGTGTGTGTGTGTGTGTGTGTGTGTGTGTGTGTGTGTGTCTGTGTGTGTGTGTGTGTGTGTGTGTGTCTGTCTGTGTGTCTGTGTGTGTGTGTGTGTGTGTGTGTGTGTCTGTGTGTGTGTGTGTGTCTGTGTGTGTGTGTGTGTCTGTCAGGATTAGTAGAATAATGTCTGAGGAGAAGATTCCCCCCCCCCCCCCCCCCCGTACCGAGTTGTGGCTGCTTTACACAAACATGTCAGAGGCGCTCTGATTGGACAGCAACATGCTGACGTGATGATGTGTGTCTCGTCTCGTCCTCAGGTGTGGAGGAGGATCTCTGAGAGTCCAGCAGGACCAACAGGAGACTCTGGATCAGTCCTGAACTACAGCTTCATAATGTGTTTCAATAATGTCTTATCAATCCTGAAAATAACCAGACGTGTCAGGATCAGTCTGCAGAGGGCGCTAAACGACTTGTTCACTCAAAGGTTGCCGATATGAAACCGAGATTTTCACCAGACGGCTTCAAGCCTCTTACATAGACTCTCTTCTCCCAGACCTGGAGAGCCCCCCCCCCCCCCCCCCGTGGCGTGCAGACAGTCCATGGTCGTGCAGCGATGTGACTTAAACTGACTTAAACTACCTTAACTTGACTTTTTCTTTCTTAGTGACTGAACTGGATCCAGCAGAGGTCTACATGAGGTCTACTTTTGATACCACACATTTGAAACAATGCGACCTCTTCTTATTTTAAAGATGGACGGCATCAAAAAGAACTGAAACTTCAAAAAACAGCTGCTTCTGTTTCATCAGCCAAGACAGGTGTGAGGAGAGGAACCCACCAAAACATCTCAGACAAACTCCTGCACACCTGTCTGAAGCGCAGTGTGCGAGAGATTCTCTGCAACAAATGACCCAGCAGACGAAGGGTTAATGGACTTCTCTTCTGGCTGCCTCAGTGACAAACACTTTTTAATGTTATTAGATTTGTACTTGAATCATATGGAGGCATCATGATGTCACCAGTCTCATGTTGAGACTCTTGTGTGTGTGTTTGTGGTACAAACAACACAACTCACTTCTTCTTTTTGCCTTTTTGCAGTGAAAGTGTAAAGAGACCTCTGGTAAGCTTTAAGCTTTAGTTCTTTGAACCCTCAGGCATCAGTTTGATTCACGACCCTCTGAAGTCACTAAGGACAAAAATGTCCACTTCCAAAAAACTGATCTAAAAATAGAACAGATTGATATTTTTTTCTACTTTTTTCTGCATGAATCTCTTAAACAACTCCAGCCCTGCTCAAACATTAAATCATTTTTAGGAATTTAACCCTTTAAATGCAGTTTGATTATTTGATGTCACTGTTGTTATTTAAGAAAAAAACACAAAAAATGAGTTATTTTCCATAAAACAAATATTTGGTGGCTGGGGGATTTTTTTTAAATCAGTCTTGGATATGTCAAAGATTATCCAAAACATTAACTTTGAAGCATTGTTAGTTTTTGTTTAGCATCAGATTTAAAATGTAGTTCCCTGTTTGGACATTGGAGGGCGAAAATGTCCAATTTACAAAAACTGCTATAAAAATGAACAGATGATGTTTTTTTCTACTTTTTGTTTGCATAAATCTCTTAAAACAACTTCAGCCCTGCTCAAAACTGTCAAATATTGAATAAGTATCAGGAATTTAACCCTTTAAATGCCAGTTTGATTACATGATTATGGCATTTAAAGGGTTAAATTCCTAAAAATTGAATGTTTGGTAGTTTTGAGCAGGGCTAAAGTTGTTTAAGAGATTTATGCAGAATAAAGTAGAAAGAAATATCAATCTGTTCTATTTTTATATCAGTTTTTTGGAAGTGGACATTTTTTGTCCTGAGTGACTTCAGAGGGTAGTAAACATGTTTCAGTGTTCTATTGATCTATTAAAAATATATAAAATGTGCATTCCAAAACGTGTCAAGAGAGAAAATTTCTTACAAAACATGTGTTCCATATGTACTAACAGACAAAATGATGACCAGATGAAGAGGAAACATTTGACCAAATGGACGAAAATGTCCATAATGAGTCATGAGGGTTAAAGAGCATTGAGCAGCGTCTGTGTGACCGCTTCACTTACAGAAAAACTTTGATGTTATTAGGACGTTAAGAAGCACAGCCTGCTGCACAGCGTGTCCTGCAGAGACTTCACTAAACTCAAACAGACTTTTCTACACTATGCACTTTTATACTCTGCATCCACTAATAGAGGAGTGTTCCTGCATGCTGACGCTCCATCAGCTGTTACACTGATCAATAACAGGCACTACATTCATGTTTCTGCAGGACGCGGGGCTCACACGCTGTGATGTCACAGTTCAGTGTTTGCTGGTGTTTGTAGTCTTTTGCACTCATCCACTTATTCTCAGAGAGAAGTCACACGTCTCACATGGATCCAGATGTGTTTAGATACTCTGCAGCTGCTCTGTTTAAAGACGTGTTTAGATAGCAGCTGCTCTGTTTAAAGACGTGTTTGGATAGCAGCTGCTCTGTTTAGATAGCAGCTGCTCTGTTTAAAGACGTGTTCAGATAGCAGCTGCTCTGTTTAAAGACGTGTTTGGATAGCAGCTGCTCTGTTTAAAGACGTGTTTAGATAGCAGCTGCTCTGTTTAAAGACGTGTTTGGATAGCAGCTGCTCTGTTTAAAGACGTGTTCAGATAGCAGCTGCTCTGTTTAAAGACGTGTTTAGATAGCAGCTGCTCTGTTTAAAGACGTGTTTAGATAGCAGCTGCTCTGTTTAAAGACGTGTTTGGATAGCAGCTGCTCTGTTTAAAGACGTGTTCAGATAGCAGCTGCTCTGTTTAAAGACGTGTTCAGATAGCAGCTGCTCTGTTTAAAGACGTGTTCAGATAGCAGCTGCTCTGTTTAAAGACGTGTTCAGATAGCAGCTGCTCTGTTTAAAGACGTGTTCAGATAGCAGCTGCTCTGTTTTAAAGACGTGTTTAGATAGCAGCTGCTCTGTTTAAAGACGTGTTTAGATAGCAGCTGCTCTGTTTAAAGACGTGTTTGGATAGCAGCTGCTCTGTTTAAAGACGTGTTTGGATAGCAGCTGCTCTGTTTAAAGATGTGTTTAGATAGCAACTGCTCTGTTTAGATAGCAGCTGCTCTGTTTAGATAGCAGCTGCTCTGTTTAAAGATGTGTTCGGATAGCAGCTGCTCTGTTTAAAGACGTGTTTAGATAGCAGCTGCTCTGTTTAGATAGCAGCTGCTCTGTTTAAAGATGTGTTCGGATAGCAGCTGCTCTGTTTAAAGACGTGTTCAGATAGCAGCTGCTCTGTTTAAAGACGTGTTTAGATAGCAGCTGCTCTGTTTAAAGATGTGTTTAGATAGCAGCTGCTCTGTTTAAAGACGTGTTTAGATAGCAGCTGCTCTGTTTAAAGACGTGTTCAGATAGCAGCTGCTCTGTTTAAAGACGTGTTCAGATAGCAGCTGCTCTGTTTAAAGACGTGTTCAGATAGCAGCTGCTCTGTTTAAAGACGTGTTTAGATAGCAGCTGCTCTGTTTAAAGACGTGTTTAGATAGCAGCTGCTCTGTTTAAAGACGTGTTTAGATAGCAGCTGCTCTGTTTAAAGACGTGTTTAGATAGCAGCTGCTCTGTTTAAAGACGTGTTTAGATAGTAGCTGCTCTGTTTAGATAGCAGCTGCTCTGTTTAAAGACGTGTTCAGATAGCAGCTGCTCTGTTTAAAGACGTGTTTAGATAGCAGCTGCTCTGTTTAAAGACGTGTTCGGATAGCAGCTGCTCTGTTTAAAGACGTGTTTAGATAGCAGCTGCTCTGTTTAGATAGCAGCTGCTCTGTTTAAAGACATGTTTAGATAGCAGCTGCTCTGTTTAGATAGCAGCTGCTCTTTTTAAAGACGTGTTCGGATAGCAGCTGCTCTGTTTAAAGACGTGTTTAGATAGCAGCTGCTCTGTTTAAAGACGTGTTTAGATAACAGCTGCTCTGTTTAGATAGCAGCTGCTCTGTTTAAAGACGTGTTTGGATAGCAGCTGCTCTGTTTAAAGACGTGTTTAGATAGCAGCTGCTCTGTTTAAAGACGTGTTTGGATAGCAGCTGCTCTGTTTAAAGACGTGTTCAGATAGCAGCTGCTCTGTTTAAAGACGTGTTTAGATAGCAGCTGCTCTGTTTAAAGATGTGTTTGGATAGCAGCTGCTCTGTTTAAAGACGTGTTTAGATAGCAGCTGCTCTGTTTAAAGACGTGTTTAGATAGCAGCTGCTCTGTTTAAAGACGTGTTCGGATAGCAGCTGCTCTGTTTAAAGACGTGTTTAGATAGCAGCTGCTCTGTTTAAAGACGTGTTTAGATAGCAGCTGCTCTGTTTAAAGACGTGTTTAGATAGCAGCTGCTCTGTTTAAAGATGTGTTTAGATAGCAGCTGCTCTGTTTAAAGACGTGTTTAGATAGCAGCTGCTCTGTTTAAAGACGTGTTTAGATAGCAGCTGCTCTGTTTAAAGACGTGTTTAGATAGTAGCTGCTCTGTTTAGATAGCAGCTGCTCTGTTTAAAGACGTGTTTGGATAGCAGCTGCTCTGTTTAAAGACGTGTTTAGATAGCAGCTGCTCTGTTTAAAGACGTGTTTATATAGCAGCTGCTCTGTTTAAAGATTTGTTTAGATAGCAGCTGCTCTGTTTAAAGACGTGTTTAGATAGCAGCTGCTCTGTTTAAAGACGTGTTTAGATAGCAGCTGCTCTGTTTAAAGACGTGTTTATATAGCAGCTGCTCTGTTTAAAGACGTGTTTAGATAGCAGCTGCTCTGTTTTAAAGACGTGTTTGGATAGCAGCTGCTCTGTTTAAAGACGTGTTTAGATAGCAGCTGCTCTGTTTAAAGACGTGTTTATATAGCAGCTGCTCTGTTTAAAGACGTGTTTAGATAGCAGCTGCTCTGTTTAAAGACGTGTTTAGATAGCAGCTGCTCTGTTTAAAGACGTGTTTGGATAGCAGCTGCTCTGTTTAAAGACGTGTTTATATAGCAGCTGCTCTGTTTAAAGACGTGTTTAGATAGCAGCTGCTCTGTTTTAAAGACGTGTTTGGATAGCAGCTGCTCTGTTTAAAGACGTGTTTAGATAGCAGCTGCTCTGTTTAAAGACGTGTTTAGATAGCAGCTGCTCTGTTTAAAGACGTGTTTATATAGCAGCTGCTCTGTTTAAAGACGTGTTTATATAGCAGCTGCTCTCTTTAAAGACGTGTTTATATAGCAGCTGCTCTGTTTAAAGACGTGTTTATATAGCAGCTGCTCTGTTTAAAGACGTGTTTAGATAGCAGCTGCTCTGTTTAAAGACGTGTTTGGATAGCAGCTGCTCTGTTTAAAGACGTGTTTGGTTAGCAGCTGCTCTGTTTAAAGACGTGTTTATATAGCAGCTGCTCTGTTTAAAGACGTGTTTAGATAGCAGCTGCTCTGTTTAAAGACGTGTTTGGATAGCAGCTGCTCTGTTTAAAGACGTGTTTGGTTAGCAGCTGCTCTGTTTAAAGACGTGTTTAGATAGCAGCTGCTCTGTTTAAAGACGTGTTTAGATAGCAGCTGCTCTGTTTAAAGACGTGTTTAGATAGCAGCTGCTCTGTTTAAAGATTAGTTTTTGAAAGAACTGAAGATTTTCTGAATGATTTTAAAGGAACTGTTGGATACTGAATGTTTTTACTGGTGAAAATAAACATGGACTCACTTTTTACACTCTGTGTGGTTCTTCATTACGTCGTTTTACACCAACCACAAACCATCGACAGAGTGCTAAAATCACCCTTTATATCAAACGCTATAGGGTGAACGCTTTCTACAATTCACCTAGCAGACGCTTTTATCCAAAGCGACGTACATCAGAGAGGAAGAACAACATGGGTTAGGCCACAGGTGCTGACAGGAAGTGACCAGAGGTGCTGACAGGAAGTGACCACAGGTGCTGACAGGAAGTGACCAGAGGTACTGACAGGAAGTGACCACAGGTACTGACAGGAAGTGACCAGAGGTGCTGACAGGAAGTGACCAGAGGTACTGACAGGAAGTGACCACAGGTGCTGACAGGAAGTGACCAGAGGTACTGACAGGAAGTGACCACAAGTGCTGACAGGAAGTGACCAGAGGTACTGACAGGAAGTGACCAGAGGTACTGACAGGAAGTGACCACAAGTGCTGACAGGAAGTGACCAGAGGTACTGACAGGAAGTGACCAGAGGTACTGACAG